TGAACCCCAATTTGGCATCAAGTTTGCAGAAGACTAATATCTTGGGTGTGTATATGTGAGAGAGAGAGAAAGAGAAAGAGAATGTGCATGTGCACACACTGAAATGAGGTTGGTATTCATGATTTACTGCAAGGCATCATGCAAATGTGCATGTCTCCCTAGGCTTTGCCATAATGATAATGAGTTTCCATCGTATAGATCAATACCTACCTCATAGTCTTTGATAGCCTTCATCAAGGTAAGTGGAATAAATATAGTGGTGTGGTAGTGAAGGGTTGAACAGCATTCATGACATTGATCTTGTGGCGATGTTTCAGTTTTCCACCCCCAGAATAGCACTTTCTCAGTGACTGTGATGCAGACTAAGGTTTCTCTGAATGTAACATTCATGGTTCCACTATTCTCCATGAATCCATGAGAAAGTATTCCAGGAGAGCATTATTTCCTTATCTCATTAACAGCTAGCTGACGTATGCAAAACTTGATCTCTGAGCAGCCTATGCATGTATAGTGTCCCACTTCAGGACTTTTGCCACATAGGGCATTTTTGCATTAAAGCTTTTCAGTCATTGTGGCTATTTTATATTTACTTTCAGTGACGTAGTTGTTACCAGGCAGTTTGGGGTGTCTGTTGTAGACTCAGGTTGATGGTTGCTGCTTTTCTGATGGCTAATGTGGAACAGTGACACAGGTTATAGGCAGGAGTTCAGTTGTGGAACTAAGAATTTCCTGTTCCTTATGGAGCTAGCAGGTCCTCATGACTGTTAAGATTTTAGCACTAGCAAAACTCCTACACCACCATCTTACATCAAGATTTCTAATGTGATTTCCAAAGCATACATGGAAATGCTGTTATTTATTTGCACCGCAGTAATGCCAAGGGTCTCTAGCCACAAATTACACATCAACATATATCAAACTTACGTCTACAATTTAAAATTTTATTATTGAATTTACCTTTTCACTTTCAAATATCTGAATTATTTTGTTTCTCTATTAAAGGATTTTGTGGGGGAGGAAATGTATGCAAATTTATAATACGTTCAATTCTCTTCAAAATAAACATTTAATCAACATACTCTAGACATGTCAAATGTAGCATACACTTGAAGAAACAAACTATTGATTCTGAGATATATTGACTTGTAGGCTTCTGTTTACATCTAAACTTTGTTAAGAAATCTCCAGATAAAGCTATTTTAAGATGATGAACTAGCAGATTCTGCTTCTGCAGAGTTTGGTAATGAGGTTTTGGTGAGATAGTTAAAGATTCACTTGGTACTGATTGGTACTGCAATTTGATTAACACTGAATTCATTACCGGTAACATTGCTGTGTGCTAATTATAGGTTATGCCAGTAAAAGAAGGAAAAAAAAGAGTGCTCATTTAAAGCATTTCCTCTTCTAGATATGATATCAGTAGTAAGGATGAGCTACTCAAATTAATGTTACAGTGCAATTAGTTTTGAATGTAAGCCTACAGCATCAGATTTCTGAATAATTATAGATTATGCTATTGAAAGTTCTCTTTATATGTTTTGTTGTGATGTCAATTTTGTTCAGTATGAAACCCCATAGTATGCTGAGTTTCTTTTGCCTCATCAAGAAAGACCTTAGCGAAATTTCTTGTATATGCTTAATAAAGCATTTCTTTTGTGGATTTTGATAAATCAATAATTACTGAACATTATATTTTTCTGAAACTAAATCTAAAATAAGTATAAAGAGTTTTTCAAAAACACCTAAGTGACTTAGGACTTACATCCCATTAACTTTCATTTGGATTTGTGTTCCTAAATCACCTACACATTAATATATTGTGTCAGTCTGGACAGAGTTTCAAGAATGTAAGCTTGTTATTTCTCATAATTTTAATTAGTTTTTATATTGTATCACCTCTTTCTGTTGTAATTCTGTTATGGAATACATAATGTGTTTTTATTTCCATTATTTCTGAAGCAGCAGCAGTACTTTGTCAGCAATTTACAATAGTTTTAAAATCCTTTCTATACTAATATGACATCTATATGGTCAAGCCTGTTTTTAATGGTAAATCATAATCTGGATTTATGAGATTTTAGGTACAGAAATTGGGTTGTCAAATAATTTTCTACTTTTCCTTCATGACTTAGAGATAAATAAGTGTTGAACTACTTTCCTTCCTCTCTTTCTAGAGGGCCTTAATGCTGAGAACATCAAACAAGCCTCCAAACAGTTAAAGAGCCGGTGGATGGAGTTCTGTCAGTTGCTGAGTGAAAGACTGGCATGGCTGGAGTACCAAAATAACATCATTGCCTTCTACTCCAACCTGCAGCAATTGGAGCAGACAGCAATTACTGCTGAAAACTGGCTGAAAGCACAACCTACACCAGCAGCAGATCCTACTACAGTAAAAACACAGTTAGAAAAGTGCAAGGTTAGAGATTTTGTTCCAACCCTTTTATTATTATACTTAATAAGTATTTCTACATATTGCCAGATGGAAGTGGAAAATAGACTTTGTGTCTTTCAAAGCTAGATGTTTTGAATGCCTGTTGCATGAAAGGAAGCAGCGATTAGTGTACAGGAGCAGGATACGGTCACAGACCAGGTTGTGAATCATTGAGACAGAGTACTTCTTTGCATTAATTAGGAATGGAGACACAGGGAGAATTCCAAGGGGTTCTCCTTAAAGAGTGCCTCATAATTGTTATTTATCTATTGTTTAATTTATTCATAATGTGAAACATGCTGTAGGTTGCAGTCATATTTAGCCCTTGGACATTTGCCTTTAGGGGCCATCTTTGGTTAGGCTCTGTGCCTATGATGGGCCTTAGCTTTCTGGCAAAGCTTTCTTTTAAAAAAACATGTCACAGAGTGCCCTTCAGAGGAGCCTTGCTAGGGACCAATGAGGTCTTGCCTGGTTTTTAACAGCATTTTTACACATGCAAGTGCCGCCCTGCTTTCAATTGCATATGTGGTGAAATGCACATCAGCGCTGAGAAAATGGTGGCAGCGCACTTTTGAACTAAAACACATAGAAGGTGCTTTAGTTCAAAAGCTCATTGCCACCATTTTCTGTGCTCTGACACTCATTTCACCAATTATACAATTACATGAGGCACAGCACAGTGCGCATCAGCTTGCATGTGGAGCAGACTCGATTAATCAAATCTGCTCCGAAGCAGCGGATCTCCAGGGTGTCGTGGGACCAAAAAGTATATGTATAGATATCCTAAGGGCCTCGTTCTTGCATGTTAATTTTGGGCAGCTCTTGGAGCTTTTAACTCCTGGATTGTCCACACATGTGACACTAATTTTATGCATTTGTTAGGCCACTTAAAGTTAAGCTCCAGCCTAGGGCTATCTCTGATCGGTGTTACCCAGCTCAAGTTACACTAACATGTAAACACACTAGGCTACATATTAGTGTGAATGCTTCACTCATCCCGACTCCCCCACTGGTCTGGATCAGGTCTGCTGCCCACCCTTGACCTTCCCTCCTGATCGGGTCACCTGAAAGTAAACCAAAGGTGGTGGAGGAACAGAGATGGTGGAGGTGGTGAGGAACAGGGGGAGCCCTGGGCTGAGGGGGCAAGCAAGAAGCCCTTAATGGGAGGGGAGAGGAGGCAACAGGATTCTTACCTTTCAGTTCTCAAGGCTGCTACTGACTTTAATGTGTAATTGCTCAAAACTTGAGCTAGCAGTAACACTGATCAACATTTGAGCAGTTCACAGTGCAACGTGTAACAAGGCCCTAAGAGAGTCCCTTGAAGTCAGTCCATGCTTGGCTGCTGGAAGAAGGGGTGAACCAAGGCTTCTTCCCACTCTGAGACCCCAGCCTTTTGGTGTGCTACCTCCCCTGATTCTGTGCATCCCCAGTTCAAGGAGCTAGCTTCTAGTTCCTCTTCTGAGAGAGGGACTTGACCTCCTATTGGGCTGGCCAGGGGAGGGTGGGGGAACTGAGCAGACCCCATAGTTCCAAGCAGCACACCAGACAGTCCCTTCAATAAAGGCATTTATTGGGCCAAAGGCCCCTCAGCAAGGAATTCTCTGCCCCCTCCAAAGAGATTATGTAGTCCCACTGTCCCCATCCAGTCCACACAGTCCTGAGCACCCCCTAAGATATTCAACTGTTCCTTTTTCAGTCTCTCCAGATCCCCAAAGTTCCTCCACTTGCCTCAGTTCCCAAACTCTTCTGGCCAGCTGGAAGGCTTCTTTTTTCCAGTCTGCTATCCCATTATCATGTTTATCTCTTCTGGATGCCTCCTGGGTGTTGAACAGCTTACCTTTGTTGATGTGTCAACACAGCCATTCAGGACTGGTGATGTTAAAGGTCTGTCGAGCCAGTCCTAGAACTTAACCCTTTACTCTCTGTGCAGAGACTAATGAGTTAAACAGCCCCACACAATATGATAACTTGAACATGGTTAACAGACAAAAAATCACAGTAAAGACCATAGCCCATCACACAACATTTTGACAGCCTTCCTGTACCCATGGTTAGACTATCTAGATTCACCAGAGGCTAAGCTATTTCTTGCCTTTTCTCCCCATTAAGGGGCTGTCAAATCACAATAGAGGCTCTTGTTAGTAAGATAATAGAATAGCCCAATTTATATTAACTTTCTTGGCAACTTCCAAAGAATGAAGTGAGTCCTATTGATCTTGTATGTGCCCAAATCATTCCTACTTAGCCTCTATACCATCTAATCCTGCCAAGAGTCATTTAATGACTCCAGGAAGCCTGGGGAAAATATTGACCCTCCATGCTTCATTTGTCCAGATCCTCTTCCATTTATGGAACTGGGAGCACATTCTCTCCCATCATGTTTAGGTTTGGACACCTCATTACTGGAATTATATTGGTAAGTGAGTATGGCTTTGGGGATTATGAGACTGACAACAGAGGTATTGATTTTTGTAGAAAAGTAGAAATGTAAAACATTAACTTCTTCCATGATCTGTGGACTTTATTTCAGATTTTTATCAATAAAACTGAAAATATTTTTTTCATTTACATTGAAATACTTGTTGACAGTTAAGGACAATCAAACACAAATGCATGTTTGATAAGTATCTGAAAAAATGTAAATTCAAGGAACAAGAGCAATTATGTAGACATATTTAAACTACTTCAAGTGGAAAGTAACATGGTTTTGAGATGGGGCATATTTAAGCTAAATACTAGGAAAACTTCTTGATTATAGGAAAATGGTCCAGGGATTTACAAAGTATATTTAGAATTTGACTGAACAAAACTAGAACATTGAAAACAGGTGAAATAGAAAACAGCCCTTACGTGAAAGGAAGATGAATTAAATTAACTAATACTTTTAATTTTCCATATTGCCATTTATCATTCAAGAAACTAGAAATGTAGGTTTGTTCTTTAGTACTCTGCTACTACATAAACACATTACTGATTCTACAACAAAAAGATAATTTGCAATATTATTTTTTTTATTTCACTATGCAGGATCAAGTCATCCATTTGTCTATCCTTCAGCCTCAAATTGAGCAGCTAAAGGTTCAAAGCAAAGCCCTGAAAGAAAAAGAACAAGGACCAATGTTTCTGGATGCAGACCTTGTTGCTTTTACCAACCACTTCCAGCAAGTGTTTACTGATATAAAGGCCAGAGAAAAACAACTACAGACTGGTAAGTGTTAGTCAAGCCCTGACTTTCTTTGCACACATTGATAAGTGGGTAGTCATAACAGCAGTTTTATTTGAATTTTAAACATGAAATTGCAGCTTTTCAAGCTCTCAGGTATCATGGAGAAAGAGACACAATATACTTCTGGAAAAAAGCCCACTTAATTAAGTTCTTACTGAGAGGCAGGACAAGGCTGTAGTCAGTGCAATGGAAGTAAAAGAATGAAGAATTAGGGATGGTAGATAAATGCATTTGCAGTTCCTCAATTAGTAAATCCATTTTAATAATGCTAATACAATGAAACACAGGTGTATAAAAAAGGAAATATGTTTTTATTTTAGCCAAATTTATTTTCAGGTAGTTTCTTGCCCAAAATGGTTTTTAGATTAATAATATCCCATTTAATCCTTTTATATTAAAATTGCATTATTAAAACTGTCATGATTATGATAATATATTACAAAATGTGTTAACTTTGTTGTTAAGAGTGAAATAGAAAACTGAACCTAAATCTCAGCACCTAGACAGACTTTCATTTTTTAGCTAAAACACTGAACAGCAAAATATGGTTTCCTTTTTAAATGTGCTAGAACTAAGGCAGGAAGGAATGATGTGGATGAAACGTACTAAATTAGTATGTTACATGAAAGGCAATAATTTCCTGTAGATGGTAAGCTGAATTTTCCAAAGCTGGGTTTTTCTGGTTCCTTGATGTAAAATGAGAATTTCAAAAGGAATTTTGTACATGCTCTAAAGATATGACTTTGGGTTTAGGCTGTGGAACCTGTCTTTTACGTGAACTCTTGATGAGATAAAGAGGGACTATCAACAATATATAACATCTTAAAAAAATACGTGTGCTTTCTTCTTTATTCAAATTCATTTCAAATTATGGCTATGTATAGGTATTATATTTGTACTGGAAGAACTCTCCAGGTAGCAACTACAAGCATACAAGCTGTACCTGCCTCCGCTCTACCAGGTGTTCGCGCGCCGCCTTTGCCCGAGCCCTGGGCTTCGTGCGCCCTGACTCTGGAAAGGTACCCTGGAGGTTACCCCAGCTGGTATCAGGGGGGCCCCTGATCTTGCCTGCCACGACTTTGATGATATCTTCAGTGGGGGGACCCACCCTTGGGGTACCCACCGGTGTCGGCGCGTCCCTCGGCGGGTAACCTTGGGGCTCCGTCCTCCCCTACACCCTGTCCACTCACCACCTTAGGCTCTTCCTCTTGGGGGTCTCCACGTCGCCCCTGGCTTGTCACCCCCTCGCCTCAACAGGCCGTCCGTCAGCAATGGTCTTCGGGCTGGGCGTACTGCCTCTGGTGATGCCAGCCCACTCCCTCCGTCCTCATACCTGCACTCCCCCAGGGGTCCGCGGGGGCGCTGTACCTCCTGCCGGCTCTGCTCTGTATTAGGCACCCGGTTGCCTCACCGGTGCCTTCTGTCTTACTGCAGCTGGCCTCCCTGCCGCTCCTGCTGCTCCCGCTGCAGCTGTCCTCGCTCCCCGCTCTGTAACCTGGGATCCGGCGAGCTCCTCCTTCTGTCTGGCTACCGGCGCTGCTGCCGGCTTCTCCACCGGTTCCACCGATAGTCTTAGTGCTGGCCTCTTCACCAGCACCGCTGCCAGCTGCTCTGCTCCGTTTCTCGGAGCCGCTACTGGCTCCGCCTCCTCTGCTCCCGCACTCCACGGGTGGTGGTTGACTCCCCGCTTGCTGGGGCTTCTCTCCCCAGCCTCCTTTGTCCAGCCACCCCCTTGCCTCGACGGGGCCGCCTTTTGTTTCTCCCGGTCGGTGTGCCCCGCCCCCGCTGTTCAGCCGCAGCCGGATAAATGCCCGGCTGACGACCCGCGCCGGCACTGCCAGCGCGTGGACTTCCTTTGGCTCCTCCGACCCGGCGGGACGTAAGCGGAACCCTTTGCCGCTGCGGGGGTTTCCCGGTGTCCCTGCTTCCCTGGGACACAAGCATTCATTAGGTTTATTAGGGGGGAACCATGCAGTCTCTGGGAGAAAGATCTTCCAGGTATATATGAAAGGGTCAAGAGTCAACAGCTTCCTATACATGTGCTTGTTCATGTTTTAATTAGAATGTGTCAGAGCAAACTTTATTCATCAATTCTGCTCCACATTCTAATAAAAATGCTCTAGTTTTGATTCAGTATCATGTCTGTTAAGCCTCTTTGTGTTTTAAAATGGCTGTGGGGCACTTGAGCTAAAATTTGTTGAATGAGGTTTAGCTAAAGCACCCCATGGCCATTTTTAAATGTGCGGGGGCTTAATAGACATGACGATGAGGCATTCTAGTTAGAGCGACTCCTGGGACCTGTTCTAATTAAAATGCCACCCCCCCACCTGAACTCTGAGCACATGTATAGGCAGTCAATATTTGCACACTTTCCTCCCAATCTGGTCTGGGAAGGTGTCATCAGGGCAGTGCTCCCTGCCTTTTCCCCAGACCAGTGGTCTGCCTGGTTTTAGGAACAGACTGGGGCCTTTGTAATGCTGTGCCTCTCTCCTTGTGGGCTGGTGAGACATCTGGTGAAGTGAGCTCTGTCTTATGAAAGCTTATGTATTTCTGAGTTTACTTAATAAGGTAGGTGCATCTCTACCCTGCCTTCTTTCTGACTTCAGACTAACACAGATACATACTTCTCAATTCAATTATCTTTAGTTTGCAATCAGGAAATACATTTCTCTACTGCATGATCTGCAAACATAAACCTGAAATTCATAAGACAAACTGTGGGTACATACTGTGGGTTACACTGAGATCATCCTAACCAAGCTTAGGGTAATATAAATGGCCATGAGTGCAAGTGTTGCAAGGCTTAGCTTGCCCTAAAAATGGCATACCCAATCTAAAGTTTGTTCTTGTCAGATGTGAAATAACTAACATGGGTTGACCGAACATAAAATAAGGTAATCTATGCTGTTTTAATCACCCTGACCCTAACCAGGCTATTTTTTGCCCCCTTATCACCACACCCCCAGACTGGGTAGTCCCCATCACAGACTTGCCAGGCCCCCCCTCAGATCTAGCAGATCTCCAAATCCCCTGACTGAATTTGCCTCCAGCTGCCCATGTGTCCTCCTGACAAGTGGAAAAGTCATGCATGTGACCATCCTGACTTGGGTGTAGCTGACTTAAACTAAGCTGCCGAAACCTGAGTTAGATCCTGCAAATGCTTTACCTGTATTTTTTGCTGGATTACATATGTAAAATGAAATGTTAGAGCTGTCAAACGATTAAAAAATGTCATCATGATTAGTTATGCAATTAAAAAAATTAGTCACAATTAATCACGATTTTAATCACACAGCTAAAAACTCAAAATTATGTGCAGAGAAACTCAATCATGCAAAATTTTGCAGGTACTTTATATCATTGGGGATGGGTGTTGGGGTGTGTGGATGGGGGGAATTTGTAAAGGTATGGGGGGCTTGTGGGTGTGTGTGGGATTTAATGCCTAGGGATGGGGGGGGCTCCCCACTGAGGGGGCTCAAGCCTGGGGAGTGGAGACCCCCACATGCCCTGGCAGGAGAAGGGTACTGTGGGTCAGTAGTGAGGGTAACAGTACATCTGGGCGGCTGTGGCTTGGGGGGGTGGGGGAGGGAAAGGGCATGAGCATATCATTGCCCCACCCTCCACAATCATATTACCTCACCCCACCACAAGTGCCTCTTCTTTAAAACTGGAAATATGGTAACCATACAGCAAAGCAGCCTGGCTGCATATAGAGTAGTACCCACCAGGTAAGTTTGTGGAGCGGGGGAAAGGGTAGGCGGGGCGATTGAGACCTCCATAGTGAGGGAGGGAGTGGAGCAGGGGCAGGGGCTGGGATGCATGGCACCCCAGGGCCAGGGCAGGTCATAGAGCTGTGGGCAGCTCATCCAGGGCACAGGAGGATGGTGGGGGGGACACCTCTCTGCCACTGCTTGCACCCCCAGGAGATCCATAGAGGGCATATGCCCCCCCCAGATTTGTGTGCAGAGCAGAGGTGGGCTACCTGCTGTAGCCTGGGGCTCTGTGCCCTGCTGCCTTTGCTCCAGGATCTGTATGACACCATGTGCCTCCCACCACCAGGCAGGCAGGGGACATGCAGCCAGTGTGCAGCTCCCAGGGAAAAATCAGCAAGGCATAGAGCCCCAGCCCCCAGCGGGCAGCCCGCCTCCGCTCCATTCACAAATCCTGGGGGCACATGCCCCACATGCCTCACCCAGGGGTGCATGTATTGGCTTGAAGCTGTACCACCTGCACCTCTGGATGATCTGCCCACAGCTCCATTCCATGAACTGCCCTGCCCCTGGGGCCCTCTTCACCCCAGCCCCTGCCCCACTCCTTCACTATGAGGACCTCAAACTGCCCCCTCCCTCACCCTTTCCCTCTCCCCCTGTCCCTTTCCTTCCACAGACTTACCTTCTGGGTGCTGCTTTACACACTGCCCGGCTGCATTCCTGACTGTGTGCATGCTGTAGGTGCTCATGTGTGTCTGTGTCTGTCTGTGTGAGCCTTCCCTCCTCCTCTCTCCCTGCACCTTTCTGCTGCAGAAGCCCAGAGCCTGCACCTGGGCTGCCCTGTGGCCCTCTGTACAACCACCACTGCCTCTCTGGGCAGCCCAGAGGTGTTGGTGATGGTGGCAGAATGGAGCGGGGGTGGGGGTTCCAAAACCACGTGCACGATTTAAAAAAAATTAATGCAAGAACAAATTAATGTGTTAATCATGTACATTAATGACGATTCACTGACAGCCCTAAATATTAGGAATACATTCTTACTCTGAAGAGACTATGTTCCATAAACTTGATTAGAACATAAGCTATGCCAATAAACCGAGGGACCCCAGAGAATGTCATAGCATCATCAGTGAATCCCATACTCACCTCAGGGAAGTCAAAAATCAAAAATTGTGATGAGAAGCACTAGTAACTGACAATCTAAATTCTGTAGCTAAAGCTTTCTTAAAATTCTGTTGCTATTGCATGAAAATAGAATTAATTTAATTCTTC